TGCAATTTGGTTTTTATTCATGAACTCTCTGCCTACCCCTAAGGACATTTATAGTTAAATGGATGGACCTTCAGACTACACTCAAGTGAAATAAATCAGACAAATGTGTAAATATCATCACTCTGGTGTGAAAAACTAAAAGTGTAGAATAAGAACCAAAAATGTATAATAGATATTGTGAAATAGGAAGAAACTGCTTACATGTAAAGCGCAACTACAGAGGGTGGAGGGGGAAAGGAAGAAAGGGAAGAGAAAAGGAGGATGAAATGGAAACAAAGCTTTGTAAATAATGAGGGAAAGAGAGATTGAAAGGAGGGGAGGGGAATGGGGAAAAAAAAAAGAGGAATCAAGGTATACCATGTTCAGGTACAAATTCCCTATGATGAATGTGAGATCATTATGTGTATCTAAATGGTACTAGTAAACAATAATAATTTCAAAAAAAACTATTGTCTCAACAATAATAGATACAGAAGATGATGGGGTGCTCCTCTAAACTGGACATGACTCCCAATCCATAGGTTGAAGCCCCAATCCCTAAGGGTATGATATTTGGAGGGGGGACCTCTGGGAAGTAATCAGGATATGAAAATGGAGTCCTTGTGCATAAGATTAGTACCCTTATATGAATACACACAAGAGAACATCTCTCTCTCCATGCAAGGGCACAGCAGGAAGGTGGCTGCTGTGAGCTGGGAAGCAAGCCCTCACCTGGAACCAAACTGGCTGGCCCCTTGATCTTGGTCTCACCAGCCTTCAGAACTATGAGAGTTAAATGTGTCTCATCTAAGTCACTCAATTCATGATATTCTGCTATAGCAGCTGAGTAGACTAAGGCATATGTCATCTTTATGGTGCTAACAGAAAATAAATGTCAACATAGAAATCTACAGCCAGAAAAATATCCAGAAAAGTGAAAAAGAAATAAGAAAAACTGTTTTCTAATGTCTGCCAGTATACTTGCATGAAAAAAATACTAAAGGGATTTTTCAGGCACATGGAAGTCAAAGAAGAAATTAAGGGTAACAGAAATGGTAAATATATGGGTAAAATTAAATTTATATTGTGGGATAAAATAACATGAAAGTGTTCCTATACAGTAAGATTTAAAAAGGCATTATAAAAGGTGGGAGGTAAGGAAATTACGTTAAAGTAGTTTAAGTCCCTAGCATTATCTGGAAAGTAGAAAAAGTACTAATTAGTAGTAGATTCTTTTTTTTTTTTTGGTTTTTCTCCGGTACCGGGAACCGAACTCACGACCTTGCGCATGCCAGGCAGGCGCTTTTGCCACTGAGCTAAATCCCCAGCC